CGCGTTGCTGGCCATCGTTCTGCTGAGTGCAGGAGCAACCCATGTGCTAAGTGCGGTGGAAAACACCATGACATGCTCCACATTGTGAGACAACAGCAGAGCTACAGCAGGAAGACGGACAAAGAGCCAGCCAGCATGAATCAAAGCAATCGACTGGACAGTCCACAGCGAGGCGGTGGATCACGTGGGAAGCCACAGCGTCCATCCGACACAGCAGCGACGGCCACAGCAACCACCTGCACTGCTAACACCGGGGTCCATGTTGCATTCATGACTGTGCCAATCAAGCTGCAACACCAAGACCAGATGTATGATGCAGTGGCACTGATTGACTCGGCATCATCGACCAGCTATATCAGGGCTGACGTTGCTGAGAGCTTGGGTGTCAGCGGGCCAGATGAGCAGCTCACCACCTCAGTCCTAGGCGGAACGACAGTAACAGGCCGCCGGCAGAGAGTCAACCTGACCATCCACAGTCATGATGGTGACTACAGCACGGCGTTCCAAGCATGGACCCAGCCCGACATCACAGCTCCGCTACCGGCCGTTGACTGGCATCAGATGAGCCAACAATTCCCCCACCTCCAGCAACTACCGCTACCACAGGTCGACTCGCGGCAGGTAGACATCCTGATTGGTATCGATGTCATTGACGTACACCGAGTGCTGGAGGAGGCCACTGGGCGCGCGGGAGAGCCCATTGCACGCCGTCTACCACTCGGCTGGATTTGCTTTGGGCCGGTGGACATGCCGACAGGTGCCACATCCGAGTGCACGCTGCACGCATCTGCAGTATGTGAGCCATTGCTCGATACGCTGGTCGCTAAGTTCTGGGAGGATGACCAGGTGGGCATGCAACCACAATCTGACAAGACGATGGCTGAGATAGAAGCAGAGCACCTCGTGGCTGACAGGATGAAAATCACTGATGGTCGTGTCACGACAGGCATCCCTTGGATTCGGCCAGACCACCAGCCACAGCTGCCGCCAAACCGAGCCATGGCAGAGAAGCGGCTGATCAGCCTCGAGCGATCTCTTCTCAAGAAGCCGGACATCCAAGCAGAGTACGACAGAGTCTTCCAATCATACATCGACAAGGGATATGTGGTCCGCTGTGAAGATAGTGCCGCCAGAGACGGTGACCAATGGCTACTACCGCACTTTCCTGTCGTGCGCCACGACAAGGCGACCACGAAAGTGAGGGTTGTCTTCGATGCAGCGGCTCGTCAGCGGGGTGTGTCTCTCAATGATGAGATGTACACTGGTCCGAAACTGCAACATGACCTGATTCACGTCCTACTCAGGTTCTGCCGTGAACCGGTTGCGATCGTAGGAGACATTGCAGAGATGTTCCTGCAGGTCCAGCTACAACAGCAAGATCGGCGGTACGTACGCTTCTTGTGGCGCAAGTCGACAGACGAGCAACCATCCATTTACGAGTTTACTCGGCTCGTGTTCGGACTGAAGGCATCACCGTTCATCGCCTGCCGAGCTCTGAGGGAGGTAGCCGCACAGCATGGGGAACAGTACGACTCAGCAGCCCGAGCAGCGGTCGAGGAATCGTTCTACGTTGACGATTTCCTGAACTCACAACCATCAGTACCAGCCGGCATCTCAGTACGGCAGGGGGTGCAGGACCTGCTCCACATGGGCTCGTTTCACCTGCGGAAATGGCGCAGTAACAGCCGTGACGTGCTCCGTTCTATCCCGGAAGCCGACCGAGCCGCCGATGCACTGGTGAGCATCGATGATTGCAGCGACGCCGCATCAGCTGCAGTTGTGAAGACGCTTGGTGTCGTGTGGGACGCAGCGTCTGACACGTTCAGCTATCGCTACAACACACCGGACGACCAGCGGCTGACGAAACGAAGCGTCCTATCCAAGATGGCCAGCATCTATGACCCAAGAGGGCATATTTCGCCGTTTACGATAAGGGCTCGACTGCTGTTCCAGGAGGCATGCATTCTCGGCTGTTCCTGGGATGACCGTCTCCCATCAGAGCTGGAGACCAAGTGGCAGAGGTGGTTTGCAGAACTACCAGATCTAGCTGGGATCAAAGTGCCACGATGCTTCAAAAGCATGGAGCGCCAGGCTGACACCGCGAAGCTCACAGTACATACCTTCACCGATGCCTCGGCGCACGCCACTTCAGCTGTCAGTTATGTCCGCGCGGCGTATCCGGATGGTTTTGTGAAGGTCAGCCTTGCATTCGCCAAGGCGCGGGCAACCCCAATCAAGAAAGTCACCATCCCTAAGTTGGAGTTGCGAGGTGCAGTACTTGGCCTGCGCACCAGCAAAGTTGTCAGCCAAGCCCTCGCTATTCCTGTTGCTGAACATGTGTTCTGGACCGATTCCCTCAACGTCGTGTACTGGGTGAGGAGCCATGCCAAGAACTTCACTTCAGATGTCGCCTGCCGGGTCGGTGAGATTCAAGCCGACACCAAAGCTTGCCAATGGAGACACGTACCAGGAGTCCTCAACCCAGCCGACTTCCCATCTCGAGGTATGAAAGTGCTGGACCTCGTTGGACGTCACACATGGTGGAGTGGTCCGGACTTCCTGACCAGACCGGAGACAGAGTGGCCGCTTGTGGAGCTTGCTACCCCTCCGCAACTACCTGGTGAGCTGAAGAAGAAGCCATGTATGACATTCGCCAGCCAGGTGACGCCATCTCGACTAGATCCTGCCACATATTCGACGTGGGAGCGTCTTACCAGGGTGACTGCCTGGTGCTTACGGTTCGTACAAAATGCCCGACGGCAGACTGCGACAGTCACGAGGGGGGAAACCCACGTCGACACCGCCAACACCAGTGTCCCACTAGTCTATGTCCGTTTACCAAGCGGTCATAAGCCAAGATCAGTAGTGACAGTACCGGTGCTGACGGCAGCAGAAGTAGCAGGAGCCGAACGACATTGGTTTGCACAAGCTCAGCTGTCAGCGTACCCAGCCACGCTTAAGCGCTTACGGGCAGGTGAGGAATTACCACCATCTGACCCTCTCTACCGGCTCAACGCGGTCCTGGATGCGACGTCACACCCTGCTCTCATGGTCGTCAACGGACGACTGAAGCATGCTGTCAACCTACCTGTTGGTGTTCGCCAGCCAGTGATCCTACCACAGCGTCACCGAGTCACTACGCTACTCATCCAGCGCGAAGACGACCTCTGTTGCCATGGTGTCGGAACCCAGCACCTGCTGTCCAACCTACGACAGAGATTCTGGATTGTACATGGTACATCAGCGATCAAAAGTGTACGTGCACAATGCGTTACATGCAGCCGACTGATGAGTAAGGCTGCGGAGCAGATCATGGGACCGCTACCCAACCATCGCACGTGTGGTTCTCTCAAACCATTTACCAGATGTGGAGTAGATTATGCAGGACCGTTCTACACAAAGCAGGGGCGTGGTCGAGTGCAGCAGAAGCGGTACATGTGCGTTTTCACCTGTTTGGAGACCAGAGCATGCCACTTGGAGATGGCCTTCTCTTTGGACACAGAAGCATTCCTGATGGCATTCTCCAGATTCATCAAGCGTCGCGGCACTCCGTCCATCATGGTGTCGGACAACGGCACGAACTTTACAGCTGCCGAGCGAGAGCTCCGAGAGGCGAGCGAAGCCATTGATCGCACGCAAGTCAGCAGGAAATTCGCTCATGAAGGAATAGAGTGGCGGTTCAATCCTCCGCGGGCACCCCACTTCGGAGGAGTATTCGAAATTGTTGTGAAAGCTGCTAAGCGTGCCATCACCACAGTACTCGCTAATGCTTCGCTTACCGATGAGGAGTTGCTGACCGCACTGATTGAAGCAGAGCATCTCATCAACACTCGTCCGCTGACTACAGTCTCAGATGATGCTCAGGATGATCAGCCCCTCACTCCCCAGCATTTCCTTGTGGGACGTATGGATGCGCCTCTGGCCAAGGAAGTGACGGCGCTTGGTGAGCATCAGCATCAGCGGAAGAGATGGGCGGCAGTACAGCGATTAGTAGACGAAGTGTGGCAGCGATGGAAAAGAGAGTTTCTACCATCCTTGAACCTCCGGAAGTGCTGGCGCCAGGCCAAGAAGAGCTTGAAGGTGGGTGACGTGGTGATGTGGATGAGTCCCGGCACTCCGCGCGGAGAGTGGCCATTGGGTCGCATTATGGAGACCTTCCCAGGAAAGGACAACAAGGTGCGCGTCGTGGACGTCAAGATTGGAGGCAAGATCCTGCAACGTGCCATCCATCATCTCGTTCCTTTGCCAGTTGGAAATGAGTAACAGTGATGGACATGATTATGTAGTTGTGTCACACTCGGATTGTTTTTGTTTTTTTAGTGTGGTTTTCTCCTCGTGTGAGAGGGGGATATGTTCCAGTAGATCCCGTAGGTTACCGTTTGCTAGGTCGATGTATTGTGTGCTGACCCGGCACATGTGAGCATGATGCTAGTACTGACTAGACACTGTTAGGACCTGTCTAGACATGCGATTGTCTGTACCGTAGCATTAATCTAGTACATGCATGGCATGCAATACCTGCCGGATCATATGACGGAGCTGGTTTGCTGATTGGCTGTAGGTCTGTTCGCTTTATCAGCTGTGCTTTTTTGTTATAGTACGAGTTTCACTTTGGACAGGAGGGAGTTATTTTGTCTCTTTGGAAAGCAGAGTTTTTTGGTCCTGGAGAGAGGACAATAGCAGAGTTGGTATGTCCGTGCCAAGGCACGATGATGTGTGCATACTATTAGTCTAGAGATTTTCGTTCAGTTACGAAGAACAGAAATAAATACAGTCTTCTTTGGAGTCCAGATTCCGTGACCGAACATGGACACTAACACTCATGGATGAACGTACCACCAAAAGTGAACCACCTGCCACCTTTTACGTACACGCAAGCGCATGCGTGCACACACACGCACACACATACACACGCACGCACACACGCACACACACACGCATACACACACACACACACACACACTCTAAAGTGAAGCCAGAATAGGACCGGGCTAGCATACCAGTATCAATGATTGCATCGTAGTTGCGATGGTCGATCAGCAAGATACCACCAGGCTTCAGAGCATCACAGAAGTTGCGAAGTGCCAACCGTTGCTGACCATTTGTGCCATCAAAGTCCGGAAGATGAGCAAAACTGTTACCAAGACAGACGACGGCATCGAAGCCTTCACTGGGGAAGTCTATTTCAGTTTCCAACAAGGTGAGCCAGTTGCCTTCCTCAATAACTACACACATACATACACAGCAAAGACAGGAGAACATATCTAAACCTGGAAAGAACATTCTGTCGTAATTTCAAAGATCCATGTACGGGGGGGGGGGGGGGGGGAGCTGCTGCCCGTCTAAACTGTACCGCCTAGCCTGGCCATGACTCAATCTAAGTACATTGTACATGTATGCACAAGTAGCAGAACTAAAATAATGTACACACAGCCATAGCAGCTCCTTAAACGGCCACAACAGTACCGTGACTTCTTACTTAGAATAGAAATGTGTGATGAATATTCATGAGTACAGTGCAGCAGAGGAAATGATAAACTAACTCTCGTCTTAGGTTTTCAGATACCATGATTGCCAAACATACTAAGGTAAGGCAACTGATGTCCTAGACTGACAAGGCTGGTACTTTAACTCCCGTGCAGTTGTTATCAGTTATCTAGCACCCCCGGCCCCGGGACTGGATACCGTTGGATGAATGAATATTCGGGATAACTGAAGCTACGACGCCCATCTTGTGTTCACAAATCAGCAGGCCTGTGATTCCACGTGCATTATTGATACTCTGCTACATTGTACCAAGAGTAGATAAATGTTTATCTACTCTTGGTTGTACTAGTATAACCCCAGAGAGTCATCGTGCTTTAATAGAGAGGTTGCGCACAACGAAAATTCGTAGCGCCGTAACGAATATTTTTAACGAAAAAAGCTAACGAATATTCGTAAAGCGTGAGGTTGCGCACAACGCGTGAACGTTTTTGTAGTGGGTCGACGCGGCAGCCGCGCGGGTGCGAAGAGTCAAGACAGGGAGTTGTAAAATATCAGTTTTTTTAGTACTCCAGGTAACGAAAAATATTTTCGTAGATTTGCTCTGTTTCGGTCACGTTTGGACGGATCTTCGGAGCAACTTTCGTTACTCGAACCCGGACGGTCGAAATCTAACGAATTTTCGTTGTGCGCAACCTCTCTAATATCTACAATATTACTCCTGTAGAGACGGTGTTGTATGTAACATAACATAAGGCAACGTTCATGATGCTCACTGTCCGCGTTACTCGAAGCATACTGTATGAGCTGGCAGTGCGCTGTTGGTTAACCGAAGTGCCGGATGACTGAAATACCGGACTAGCGATTTATCGACATGCACCTGTTTACGAGGCTTAGGCCACCCTTTCTTTTTTCGTTGTTTAACGTCCGCGCCCGCGTACCTTTTTGCCTCAGACTGGAAAAAAAACAAGAAAGTAGTAGTACCAATAATATGCGAAGTTGTAAATACATGATTGTGTAGTTTCACAATGTGCCAATCATGACCTTAAACTTATAATCTTGCCTCCCGGGCATGCCTTTGTCTTGTGTTCTTTTTCTTTTTTTGTTGGCTTTTAAATATCGTACGGTGTGTGTCCTAGTAAAAATCCAGATGTAATGAATTCATGACATGCTAACTCCATGCTATGTACCTGTTTTGTTGGATTCATCAGGCATGTGCTCCAATGTACCATCAAAGAGTGTTGTTCTATGCCTGTAAGTGCCGTTAGACCCAGAAATATTGTATATATCACATGCTTTACTGGTCAAAATGTTTGATTGGAGTTTCCAGTTTTTGGAATGGGCTTTTGTTTTTTTTCCGCCCTCCCGCGTACCTTTCGCGAAAAAAAAGGACGTTAAACAATGAATTAACAAAGGGTGGCCTTATATTAACTACAGGAGGTGCATCGTTTACTTTTGAAGAGAGCAAAGTGAATACTGAATATACCCCAGAAATGATATTCGTATGGGCGACACTTGTTGTACTCATGGTAGCTTGAAAGTACGAAAAAGGTGAATTTCCAACTTTCAGGTCCCAAAAATATCCCCCCCCCCCCTTAAGAGAGGGCACAGAGTACAAAGACAACTTACCCCAATTGTCGAAGGCGTCCTCCTTGCGCCTTGCCCATCGTGTTTTCTGGGCGTACTTCAACATTTTGTCACTGGCGTCTATGCTGCTAACTCTAAATCCATTTTCAAGAAGCATGATGGAGTCCACCCTGCACAACAGAACGCCACACACAGCGCCGGATTGTTGGCCGAAAAAAAATGTTACAATGCGTCCTGTCACTACTAGCATGTGTGGGTTATATTACTAAGTCTGATTGTCTTCAAGTGAGAGTTTAGGCTATTGCCGGGCGATTGGCCTTTACTATGACAGTCACGACGCGTGAACAACGCGTAGCAGCAGACTGACAAGAATACACTGCAGTCACTACCATTGCTTGATTACCATGCAATGTTCCTCAGAATACACGGCCGGCTCGGTCCGCAACGGACACATTTCAAGTAACAGTTGGGTGGGTAATGTTGGTGGTTCTATGACGGTACCCAATATATCATAATACGTCGGCCCTAACTGGTGAAAGCGGCTGCAGACTTCGTGGATTTTATACGGGCATTGTATTTCATGATTTCTTGACTTGGCAATATCAAGATCAAAAATGCCTTTTTATAAAATATGTTGAACACAGCAACATACCCTGTTCCACAGGCAACATCCAACACATGTTGACAGCCATGGCTACGTAGAATGTCGCACACACTTTCTCTGTACAGCTTCGTTCTTGCTTGAGTACTTCCGACATAAATGTTCCAGACAGTGGCAGCCTTTCCATCTGCATACTGATCTGGCAGGCCAGTCGCCGCAACACCCAGCGAGCGAGTACGATAAACAGAATCATTCATTGCTCCGACAATTTAGAACAAAGGCACGGCCCAACTCTGCCACAACAGTCCAAGTACTTGAATTAGTTGAAATTAGTTACAATGCTTCTTGGCACTAATGCTCATTTTCTTTGTTCTGCTATTATAATAATAAATGCACTGAACAAGGAGACTACTTTTTTTCCTTGTCCTATAGATCTACATTGTTGCGTGTGCAGAGGTCAGCCTCGAATTCACACACCTGTACCAGACAGATCTTTCAAGCAAGACGACGACAATTTTTGATTTGACCCCAGTCAAACAGAGGCCGCACGTTCCACAAGAAAAACGCTGTCAAAATACGGGATTTGTCATGTCACCTTTCACACATGTGCACAATCAAAACTCATTCCGAGCTGATGTTTATGACTCCTCTGCTGACAAGTCTTGATTCTTCTTGATCCCCATGATCACTGTTGATGGGGCTTGAAAGAGAAGGACCCCAGACAGGTGCATGTACGAGCCACCCTAATTATATTTACCTAAAATTAACGAGGATCGTTATTCTCCACAAAAGTGCTGATCACTCTGTTGTGTTCTTGTTTCTCAAGGTGGATGCAAAAACGTGACAAAAGAATAAGACTAGTACTGTACATATAGACATAGTACATAAACATTCTAATTATTAATTATTTCTACTCTTGCTAATGACGGTGATGGACTCTGCTACATGGCTCTCGCATGCAAAATCAGTGCAGCTGCTATACCCCGGCATTGTGCATTGGCATACAGCACAAGCAGAATCGTTTCTGGTTACCGGTATGTACTGGCATGCTAGCCGATCAACAGAGGGCACGGGGTCCACTCATTTCTAACCTCCCTGACGACTGATGTGCACTCACACCGCTCACACACACACAACAACAACAACACGTGCACAGTTCAGTTGTCAATCCAGGCACACATGCAGAATTCGAAGGTAGCGTTTGCTACAATAATTATGTATCAGGTGGAGAGTGCTCTGAGATTGTCAAAATGGAAAAATCAAGCAGCTATGCCAAAGAACAGTATATTCCAGTACCAGCATGAACTCAAATTCTATCTGAAAGAGCTGCTGAACACAGCAGCAAAGTCAGCAACAGCAGGCTGACCTCAGAAGCTTATACAAATGCTCTAATATGCTACCAATGAGGACTGCAGGCCAGTGAAAGCCAAAGGATTTGATCTTCTGTACTATTGCAATAGCGAGACATTTGACAGGATAACAATGTTACACAGCAACCAAATGCCAAACAGCACAGTAGCAGGCGCAACGTCTAAACAGAAGGTTCTCACAAGTGCACTAGAAAGCTAAGTTAGAGAATAGCAGCAATCAAGGCAGACGCAATAAGACTGCCGCCCAACACCATCTGTCCTTGCCTCTCCAGAGTCTTGATCTCGAAACCATGACCACGGTCCCAGTTCTGCAAAACACCAGGAGCGCCAAGGACAACAGATCAACAAAGAGACACAGCTTGGACCTACACGCTGACACAAAGCCACACATCTGTGTACAAACTTGGCTTGGTCTTGCAGGAATATCCAGTCCAAAGGGAAACTGCACAAAGCAAGTTACGGATCTAGGGCTTCAGCATGGGTAGGCAATTTCAACGAAATAATAGAGGTTCCGCACTACGTGAAGTTGAGCAACTTTAAGTCAGTGGGCGGGAAAACCCGTGAATTCTCGAGTTTGCACTCCACTTACGGAAAGTTGTCTACGTAGAATACGTAGATAGGGCTCCGATAACGTAGGTGCTCCGTAAGTGGATTGGGGTACAAATTTAGGACTCTCTCCCCAGGTCGATCCGGTCGTACACTGCCGCATTCGGAGTGGCCAAGGGCAGCTACGCGATTTGAAAACTCCGCATGGCGGAATACAGATCCGCATGCAGTTTACGTAAGAGCATGTTCGATTGGTAAGGATCGGGATCAAGATCTCAGATCCGTCGGATCCTTCAGATTCAACTGAACACTTTATTCCCGTAGCTATGCAGAAGACGTTACTTCAGTAACGTCTGGCGCTAGCCAGGGTCCACACAGCTTTAATTTGGTATTTGTGTGTTTGTTTGTGTCACGCCTAGCGCTATCCCGTATCTGTCCCGTACCGTACCGTACCATCAAACACAGCTGGCCACATACAGCTGGCCGCAATATTCAAATAGGGCTTTCAAACGCAAGATCGTAACGTGAAGCAACTTGGAAGAATGGGTATGAATGCGAAGTGTATGAGGGAATGCATGTAGGGCGATAGTGCGGGTTCGAGTCCTAGGATATGCCTGAAAAAAATAGGAGAATTGGAAAATTTATAACATCCCTATGCTTTTTTTGCCGTCATCAAGGCGGTAGACGGTGTCGTATTACCCTCGATCGTACCTATCCCGTACCGTACCATCAAAGACGGCTGGCCACAATGCATATTCAAATAGGGCTTTCAAATGCAAGATCATAACGTGAAGCAACTTGGAAGAATTAGTATGTTTTTCGATTTTGACAGCATGTTACAAGGCGAGGACGCGTAGTGCTCCTGACTACAACCATAAACCGGTTGGCAGAGTCCCGGTCTTGCGACCATTTGAGCACTACGCGTCCTCGCCTTGTAACATGCTGTCAAAATCGAAAAACATGTTAAACTACCAAGCAAGGCTTCTGTATATAAGAATTAGTACCGTATTTTTCCGGTTATAAGTCGACCTTTTATGACTGAAAATAGCAGAAGAAAAGGTGGGGGTCGACTTACAACCGGGATTCGACTTATAACCGGGAATTATTGGTATCTTCCAAAAATAACCTGCACTGAATACACGAGTGCACCATGTGTATGCATTTTTGCCAAGTTTATTTGCCTTTTTCAAGGATTGGGATGTTTCAGAATCCAATGAGGAGTGTTCATGTGATTTGTTCATGTGTTAGTAGCAGGGTGCAGTTAGCAGTGCTTCGTTGGGCAAAAACTTAAAAAACATAATTAAGACCTCCGGATACGGGGGTCGACCTATAACCGGGGTCGACTTATAACCGGTAAAATACGGTATGTATGCGAAGTGTATCGGGGGATGCATGCAGGGCGCGCGATAGTGCGGGCTCGAATCTCAGGTTATGTCTTTTTAAAAAAAGAATTTTTTTTAAAGAATTTATAACATCCCTATGCTTTTTTTTGTCTAGGTCATCGAGGCAAAAAAGCGTAGCGTAGGGCCCTGAGCTTCCAAGCTCTCTCGTTTTGGACCTTGACTGTTGCCATGTTGACAATGGCGCTCACAAGTCACCCAAAAGGGTGAACGTCGTACTCATGGCATGCGTCGTACAAAAAGTCAACAAGCTCTAGAGCTAGCTCTATCTCCATCCACGTATGCGTACCACAATGTGTACAAAAATTATTTTAACCCGCAATACGCACAAAGGTCACATTTGGATCCGTTGGATCCGGGCAACCCTGCTCCCCGAGGTGGGTTGACCGGATCCAAATCCGAAGGATCCGGATCCGACCAATCGAAAGGGTGCGAATCCAGTAGATCCGGTGGATCGGGATCCCGATCCTACCAATCGAACATGCCCTTAGACTTCGTAGTAGATCAACCACGTTTTTTACTAACATAATTACGTTAGGCCAAAACAAATAATGACCTTGTTTCCGGTCGCCCGACCGGGCCACTTTTTCCCAAATTCTGAAACTTTTTTTTGGTCCCAAATGTATACAAACGGTGGCAATGCCATGTGTGCAAGTGCACTCAACGAGTCATAACTCAGTCAAATCTCAACCGAATGCCACAATCGAAACACCTACAAGGTAGCAGAGATTCTCAGCTGTCGGCTCGAAAACCTCCGGGGTCGATACGAGCTAGAATAACAGAGCTGGAAGGACTCGAACTGTTTGCTTGATTTCTCAGAATGTACGAAAACAGGAATACACCCCATGCTGTACAAGAACAGTGAGTCAGTCAACTTTGACATTGATCCTTGCCATGATATATGTACAATGTACATGTGTAGGTGCTCTTGTCCATCAATACCACAATGATTGAGGAACCAAAAAAAAAGTATCCAAAAAAAGTTTCATTCCGGCCGACCGAGTCTCCTTTTTGAGGGGTTGCCGACCGGAAACAAGCCTATTTTTTGTTTAGGCCTTATGCGGAACCTCTCTAATATTAACGAAGGCAAGAAACTATATCAAGCCAATTCAGGCAGCTGTTCATCAACAATGGGCCCTGTGGTCTTGCTGGTATACATGCTTACCAGATGTCTGATTCCATTGGCGGTGTGGTAAACGAAGGGGAACGAAATTGCAAGTTTGGCAAGGCTGCCAATGAGTGGGCTGATTGTGGTGCCAGCCAAGGCAGCTTCAAACGAGCCGGCTGTGGTGAAAGTAGCTGCAGCCGCAGCATAAATACCTGAAAACACAGGAAAAAATCAGAGAGAGTATATCAAGAGGGGATAGACAGACAGAAAATAGCCGAATTCATTTACGCAACTGTGAACTTGCCCCGCACAGGAAAACACATCACGAGCAGAGAACATCTCACGGTAATGAGCAAACAACAACACCAAGAAGACCGGCAGTAACTGGCCACTTCATAGTGGTCTTCTCAATGAGCAATGTCATCAGCAGGAGCAAGAAAGATATGACTACAAATAACCCTACCACAGGCCAAGCCGACACCAGTTCCACGATGGGCGATTGACAGAGTCCATGTCCATTGAGGTCTGCTCGCACAAAATGTAGTAAAATGAAATAGCATGGAGTTGAAGTAAGGTCCTTACCGGCCTAAGGCTATGTTTACATGAAGCATTTCAACCCGGGTTGAGTTCCCGCCATGAACACACATTGACTGGAGCGTTTACATGACGCATTGCGCTTGACCCGGGTTGAAATTTCAACCTGGGTTGATTTCCCCAGTTCCGGCCAGTTCTTGCGATGCACATCAAATCTGCACCAGTTACTTATTGTAACATGGAAATTGTGGGCACAAGTTAATTATGCGATCGAGTCCACCAACTAAACCAGATTTTTGAACAGTCAGACGTGCACAATTTCCATGTTACAATTTGTTTCCTTGGCTCACCATCTGAGTTCAGTTACTTATAATTATTATTAGTTATTAACCAGGTGATTATGTTACGCCTTACGTGTAAATAGTCACATGAGGAGACATTGGTCGCTTCAGTTCTTCATTCTTCTTGAAGAAATCCTCCGGAGCAGATGTTTGACCTCTGAGACGGAAACATCAAAATTACAGCAGAAAAAATTTTAAACATACGATGTACTGAAGTAGACTACGTGTTAAACCATCTTCAACTTTAGTACTCTGCCGTCAGTTGACTTGCTTCCTACTTCAATGTAGTTCCTACTGGAAATATTGCACAATGCAGGCGCTCATACGTACTACATTATTGCAATTTGCAGCCCCAGTACATGTATTCCCAGAAAATGGAGACTTGAAAATTTGGATGCTCATTTGACACATTCAGGTTTCTAAAAATGGCTTGACTACTAAGAGGTGTGCATGTTCTAGATGGATGTGTGACCGCTCTCCCTTATCTGACCATACACCTCATCCCAACCCTCTAGGTGTCGTGCCCCGAGGAGTGCGGATAATCAGCACTCTACTGTACATGATTAATTTTGAAATTTAAGATCTCAGCATGTATTGCTGCGCTGTCCCAAATCGATGAGCGACGGCAACGATTTCATAGCGCTTCCACGCATGTAAACCTACAATGCGGGTCAACAGTCATCGTGTCAACTGAGTCGGTGGCCTGCACACGGAGAGTGCATAGCAGGGGTGTAGATCTACATCGAAAAGTGAGGGTTTATGAGCTGTAAAGCTCACTATTACTCTCCTTCCGAACGTGCATGGATGCATGCATTCTCATTTTGCCAATATTTTTAAAAACATTCCTACTGCTTTTTCAGAGTTTCAGAGGTTGTTCAAACACAACCATGTACTACAAAGCAGCATGTGTCAAACCTCTACAACACCAGATTCTTTCCCCACTGAGTGATTTTCAGCAGCACAACGTGCTGATTGATCATAAATCTTGTCAAAACTAATGATGTGACCTGGAAAGACAAAATCGGTATGAACCCGCTTTCCATACCCTTCACCTACATAACACCAGTACAGCAGGAACAGAGCTGGCAACTGATTCACCAACGTAACTGAGACGAATGCCAAGAGAAGAAGATTGTCTTGCAAGCTGAAGCCAGTGCTCAAGATCATGCAGCAAAACAGCTTGAATCCTCACCTGACCAAAACTGGGACTGATGCCCGTCCACAGAGGGGTGCTTGGGACAGAGCCCTCCTGCACAGACAGCATATAAACAAAAATACTTCCAGGGACAGCCACGCTATCGCAGCAAACAATAACTCGATAAGTACCTAAGAAACAGTGAACTGGCCATGATGTCGAAAGAATTCCTCTGAACCTTTCTCTCTTTACCAAAAGGCAAAAGTCAAAGATTCCCGAATGCTGTTTGAAAATCGCAGTACCTTGCGCAAGGTGTGTTTTTTTGCGATTTCAATCAAAATGTAGCAGACATGTCAAAATTGATACGAATTGTGGTGGTAAATAAGGGTTTTGAATATACCATGATGCAAAATTTTGACCGATTATGGAATTCCTTCTGGAAAATTTGACAAACCTCTGAGGATTGTGTGGGCGCAAGGAAATGTTCAATGCTCAGTTTCAGGGAAGATGGCGACAATGAATCTATTTCGTCTTGGTAAATACTTCTGCAATCGTGCTAGTGCCCACCTCTTGGAATCTAATAGAAGTATATGGACCTCTCCTGTTATTCCAGCGAGGCCAGGCTGTGGTGGAGCTAGACTTCTGCTGTCCCAGCAGACTCGCTCATTGACTCGATTTGGTAAAGTTAATTTTTTCCTGAGACTTTCCTCAAAGTGAGTATAGAGTGTGACTTGAGCAGAATTTCTGTCTGTGTGTATGCCCTCAGCTCCACTACGAGCTGTAGCAGCGACCCCCCAGCCTACCATCCCCAACAGCAAAAACCAACTTGTGCAGAAGAGAGGTAGGTGGATAGTAAACATGCAGTGACAGTTGGGAGGTGAATGCCATTCATTCTATTAAACACAATAATAACATGCCACAGTTGTCACAGTTGCATCGTGTACAACAGCCAGCATCATATAGTGAGAACCAATCCGACTTTGGTACAGTCAGTCATGTACTGAAACATACTGCAGTACCAACACTTGCCTGAAATGATAACGCTATTATTATTTTCCTCCAGGAGTCAAAATTCATCGCCCTATGGGGGTGAGTAAGCTACAATTCACATGAAAGGGTAGTATATTAATCCCCATGAAAGGGGTGGTGTATGAAAACCAATGGTAGAAGTTTTTGAGTGCGCAGTGCACCTGACAGCGTGCAGAGCATGTCAATGTACCATATGCCAGTGCCACATAATGTAATGTGTCTGCTTACTTGTGTGTGTGTGTGTGTCTGTGTATACGTGTGTGTGTGTATGTGTGTGTGTGTGTTCACGTGTGTGTGTGTGTGTGTTCACGTGTGCACATGACTTGGCCGCTGGATTTTCGCTGTTGCAGACTATGTGTCGCGTGCTGCATCAAACATGTGGGCTGGTGAGCGTGTCATTGCCGTTGCAATGCTGGGTCTGCTGCCGGCAGGCATCGCATTCCCTGGTTACATGGTGATTGACTTGAGCCTTGGCATACTCTTGCCTCTTCATGCTCACTTGTAAGTATTTGCAATGCCAGGGGTGGCCCGAGTAAGAAAATCAATAATATAGTGTCTTACTCGGGCCACCTGTATTATTGGGACCTGTATTGGGTTCATTCACTTAGGAGGGGATGCGGTAATCGAAAGTTGCCTAGAATTTGCATTCCCTCAGAAAACAAAGTCAAAGGTCTGTCTGTACAGTACTGTCGGTCACCGAAGAACTGGGGAGTCAGCCTCCTAGCCTAGACCGTTCTTATTTTCATGTATTACAGTCTATGCACAGTTGAGTCACAGTGTATACATTGGTATGCTGTGCTTGGTAAAATTCTAGCCTGGTCGTTTTTCGTCGCTCCGTTCTTCGGCGCCCGACCGTGCTGTATCGTCTGTATGCCAGTAAATGGTATCCATGGTGTCATGGCGCATCAGAGTAGATTTATCAGCAACTGCTACACATGACGACACAGAGCACCATGCATCGTTCGTTGCAACTAATAGTTTCAATCATCCGACAACTAAAAAAAAATAGTTGTCCGATGATTGCCTATGGGCATGAAACTATTAGTTGCAACGAATGATGCGTGGTGCTCTGTGTCGTGTTTAAGATAGCTCTATTCGAATGAATATTAAAAGCACTCTACCGAGCCGGAGGACTCTCATTTGTCAGCAGCTACTAGTATACAACATCTGCATACAAACGATTGAGGCTTCATTGTAATCTGTACAATGCCAGAAATTAGGCACGCTTCAGCTCCTCGAAATGGCCCATGGGGAATACATGACAACCCTCGTCCAGCCCTGGCGTTTTTCGAATTATTCTTACAGTCCCGTCTGGGTGCTTTGGCTCGTCATCTAATTCTTCAATATCAGTCCACGTGGTGGGGGTGGTGACCCGGTTCTGATTTGGGGGTGGCCGCACGATACACTCGTCTTCTCCCTGCCATCGGTACCCTATCTTCTCCCCCAAGTGGTGCAGCCAGGCAGGTGGGATGGCGGGCTCTTGGATTCGACGCGACCTACCCGATTTTGTCATGGTCCCGGTGGGGGTAGTCCAGTCTGCTCGTCTCTTCGTGTGAATGGGGTGGAGGTCCTATCCGCCCGTTTTTTTCTGATGGCCGAATGGTTAGGGTCTGGTAGCATCGTTCTTGATATTTACCTGCAAAGTGACTTGAGGTCCCCGGATTCTGACCGGGTACAGGCACAGCACACAGTGCATCGATTCTGTTTACTGCGCCAAATGTCCTATCCGGTCTGCACTGGGGTTTTTCGAAATATTCTTGCAGTGTCATCTGGGTACTTGGAGGTCAATCAGGATCTGAACCCAGGACCTCTTGCACACCAAGCGAAAGTTTGCCGCGTGCTCTCTCTCTCTCTCTCTCCTCTCGTGCTTTCTCTACTGGCAGCTATCTCTGTTTTGATTGCCCACCTACTGTACATGTTCGCCGTCCTTGTGCCCACTTCCCGGCAAATCGCCCCATCTACCACAGTGTATTTCAGTAGTACCGTAAAGTACCGTTGATCCGCCCCCACGCCATGTCGCTTCCCAGCTGGGTTTTCGGCAGGGGGCGGGAATTAGATCAAGGCTGTCAAGTGCAGTACGATGTACAACAACGTAGAGGATCAGACTCGATGTGCTGGATTGTGCGCATTTTGATCCTGGATTGGCAAGTATTGTGTACAGCAGTGCATGCGTCGGTTCAACATCGTATTTCGTTGTATACGCCGAAGTCGCTTCACAAGGAGAAAATCGACAGGGGGCGGGAATTAGAGAGGGGGCGGATCAACGGTACTTTACGGTACATGTGTTTCGTTGCTCAGACTGACTCTATCAAATCTTAACTGCCTGGTCTCCTCTTTCTTTCTTTGTTCTGTTTTAGTGGTCTTCATCAGCTGGTGGCAGATTACATCCACACAAACATCGGTCACAGGATCTTTGGTGTTGCTCTACCCCTACTCACCGGCCTGACTATCCTGTCCTTCTTCTACTTCAACTTCACTGACATCGGCATCACAGCAGCATTCCGCAAGTTTTGGAAAGCACTTTAAAGACTTTAGCATTTGTTTTCAATCCTGTACTGGTCCCATGTAGCACTGTATACTTTCTTTCTATTGATCAGCGAATGCTCTGACAACATACAATCGGCTCAAGAGCTCTGTGTGTGTGTGTGCGTGCGTGTGTGTGTGTGTGTTTGGTGCAGTGGTATGTGCAGCGATTTCCAATCGATAGATTGCGGGTTCGATTCCCGACGATTATGGTCACACACGTCTTTCTTCTCTTTCTCAGACTCTTCCTGACTTTTCTTTCATTCTCCTGGGTGGTTACCAACAGCCAGTGCATGCCGGAGTATGTGGTGTGATGTGTGTGCGGGAAAAAAAAGAAAAAAGAAAAGAAAAAGAAAAAAATGAAAAAGACCAAAAAAAGGGATTCACTGGCCAGAAAATGTCACTCCAAATAGCTGTATGGTGTAGACCAGGCTGAATGGTGACGGTCAATTCTTCAGCCTTGCAAGCTGTTGAATGGTGTAATCCCAGCACAAGTTGCTATGGCTTCTGCCGTAGCATTGCTATCATCGCCTCCGGCGATGGGCGTCAAAGGTCAAGGTGTGTGTGTGTGTGTGTGTGTGTGTGTGTGTGTGTGTGTGTGTGTGTGTGTGTGTGTGTGTAGAGGGTGCTACGGCTTGTGAATCTTCTGGCTATCATCAGGATCACAGATCAAGCATAATATCATGTGTATGGCCAGTGATGACGCCATACACGGATAGCAGATTCATGCAGGGTCGCAAGCAGGGAGTTGTATATTTGTCTATACAAGCAAGAGTACATAACCCCAAGAGTATGCAACTCTGCGTATGGGGCCTGGCACGGCGCACTGCCTGCATTATGTAGCCACAAACCATGGCCCATTGTGTCATTATTGATCTGCTACAGTTTCCTGCTTCCGAATCCGCTTTCCTCGGAGACTTCAATTGGTTTTGTATGTGATGCGTCACACACAGGCATTAGAGAGGTTCTGCTACACGGAACTACCTACCAAACTCCGTGTCAACTGCAGTGAAGTTTGACACGGATTTTTCGTACGTTGCACCGGTTCTGCTGTACGTAGCATGCCCGAACACCCCGTCACATGTATAATTATGTGCTCTGTACGCTCAGTTTTCACACGGAGTCCAGTTCGCCGCGCTTCACCCGAAAACCGTATGAAAATTGATCCCGTACCGCGGCGAGGTTTCCATACGTACTTTGGTACGTTTTACCGTGTGGCAGAACCTCACTATTGCCTTTGAACTTACCGAATCGTCGAGGCTAAACCGTAGGAAAACTCAAATCCAGGCTTCAGCTGGATCGTCATTTCACTACATAATAAGGGTTGCGCGTCGCCCAGGGCACCCATAGCTCGGAGATCGGAGTTGCACACTCTTGGTACAAGTTATTACAGCTCCCTGGTTGGAAACTTTTAAAACTGAAGTGTGAGTAGCTAGGTGATATGCCACGCGCTGACCGGTATGTGTAGGGCTCCCTGGCGCTGATCTGTATTTTCTGCTGCATGCAATTTTTGTAATGGACGACTGATGCCTGTTCTGGCCCGTTTTCAGGCTCGAAGCAAAAACAATGATTGTGCATGATGCATGCAAGCAAGTTCTTGAGACTGGTACCCAGAGGGTCGTATGTATGACAGATTGACTCCCACGCAATAACACGAGACTACATGCGCGCAGACTTTGCAAGAATGCATGGATTGCCTGTGTCATATGCAATGGAAGCTGGCCGTGCTGACAGTATAACAACACGACATGCATTTGGAGATCCATTGAATGATTCAAAGCACTGGCTTGCAATACAATAGTCCTGATGCACGTTGTACAGATGTACGAAGTTCTAGGGCCGTAGGTGTGTACATGCCCAGTGTTCATTGTGTTCTGTACATGCACGTTTGACCCATTTACCCACATAATTCATGGCAAACAATTGCTTTTCCAGCTTCTTCACTTTGGGATTGAACTAACGACTAGCTAGATCTATGCCAGAAAAAAGTTTTTGTATGAAATACCTTCAGGGCCCATTTCTTAGTGGAAATAGCAGTAAACACAATAGGGTCCTGCACATTTAACACCCAACCGGGTCTACGGGATTCTACAAGATTCTACGAGATTTCGTGCATCTGTACAACGTGCGTAAGGCCTATGCCATGTGCAGTGTGTTCTTGCATGCTGCAGTCCTTTGTGCATGCATCTCACTGTGGTATGTGAGCAATCAAGAGACCTGACACTGGACATAATTCATGAAACGTTGAAGCAGGCTGCAGACTTTGCATACCTATCAACACTAGAATTATCATACTGTGCTGCCGATGTCACAAGGCCAAGAGCCGGCGACATCTTAAATAGTGACCAACAAAATATGCAGCACATGCACAAAGCGTACAACAGTACAATAATGTACAATAGCCAACACATTCTCGAAAAAAATCCTTATTTCGCGTAGCATTTGCGTGGTGGTGAGCAGGGAAGCAGGGCTCATCACATGTGTGAACCATGGTGAACTGACTGGTTGCCAAGCTAGTGTTACAGAGAATGGACAACTATTGGCAGAAAGCACAGTACATGTACATACATGATCGTGTCCCACAGTCGGGTGATGTACAGTGCTACAGACCAACACCGTACACGGCAAAGAGAACTATATGTGTATACAATCACAAACTAATCGATCTAACAGCAAGGCAGCAGACAAAATTAATATGATCAGCACTACTGAGTAAGAACAAGTAATCGCTTATGGATGTGCCTAGTGCCAGCAAGGTGGTGGACAATGCGCCGCTACAGCTAGGAAAAGCATTCATTGCTCGCTATGCATGCACAATGAAGTTATAACGGGAGATTTGTATGCGGATGCAGTGCATATGGTGAAATGATGATAATTATTACTCAGCTTCAACACAGACTCGAGTGGTTTCTTGCTGATCAAAACTCCTCTTCTCGGTAAAGAGAAGGAGTTTTGCGCAGCGGAGAGGCCGTTGAGTGCGTGTTGAGAATGAGTGATGGGATGGAGTGTGCGAATTCTTAGGGAAATGATGGTGGTGAGCACAGAAATAATAATTCAGTATTGAATTGATCGGAACGGAAATCGTAATTTGATTCGGACTGCTTTATAGTAGCAGCAGTTCAAGTTACGGTGTAAGGAACATTGGTGGGAACAAGTGTTGGCAGACTAGAAATGTGCCAAGGAAAAAACCTAGGGTGCTGCGGACACGCAGCCAGGGCCTGCACTGCCGAGAGCTCATTCTGGCAGCTCGCTGGCCACATCAAGTGTACACAATTTGTGTACACTTGATGTCACAAAGCACACAGATCACTGGAACGGTGGCCGTTTGAAGTGCCCGTAGCACTGTCGTCATGCTGACCCAAAGAAATCCAACCTCATGAATAAAATAGCGCCGGGCGCTACACATTCCTTCTGTGCACTCTAACGCGGCGCTACTTTCTTCATTAGGTTGGGTTTCTTTGGTCAGCACTGCATGTTAGCAATATGCTGTTGCCTCCAGGTTAGTCATCCTGACTGTGGCCCGGCGCTGTGTACGCATCGGAGAAGAATCCGCTCCACGGAACGAGGTAGAAGACTGATTCATTGCAATCAGTTGAAGATTGACGTTGACGACTCGCTGTTGGTTACGTTGTCCATTGTCTTCTGTGCTTCACGTGGCTCTCGCTCCAGGGACAGCGTGAAGATTTCGTCGTCGTCCTCAAGGACAAGGCCCGTGGAAAGATAGTGCTGTGTCACCAGGTCAAACTCCAATTCCTTGTACTGTTCTTGCTGAAACTGGACCAGCTCTCGGATCTGTGCATATCAGACACAAAGGAAAAGAATGATGAAGACATGATAACGGAGATCAAGCTACATTCGACAGTGCTGTGTTTGTAGCAGTGGCCATGAACACATACAGTAGATACTGGTTATAACGTGCCCTTCTGATGTTTCACATTTTATCACTATAACCGGTATATCACTACAGGCGATTTTCAACTGCGCTCGTCATACATACACATTATACACGTGTGGGTACTCGATCGCGCTACTGTAGCATACTGATACATGATGCATGCTGCTGCACCTTCCCCAGTCTAGAGTGAAGAACTTCTTGGCCCAAAAGCATCATCCAGGAAGCATCAGACCAGAATACACTATGAAAACACACATGTGGCTCCAAGTCGAGACATCAATGCCTCACACTCGTGTGTTGCTATCACTATAGACGATAATTTGTCTGCACAAAGAGGTGTTTTGAATGGTGATTCTGTATCCTTATATCAAAAAGTATTCTTTCTAGACCAAAGAGTGGTATATTTGATAACATTTAATAACGATAGAAATTTTTACGATACTTCTCCAGACGTTTCGTTGTTCTGAACAACATCGTCAGTGGATAAAGAGATTTCTTTATCCACTGACGATGTTGTTCAGAACAACGAAACGTCTGGAGAAGTATCGTAAAAATTTCTATCGTTATTAAATGTTATCAAATATACCACTCTTTGGTCTAGAAAGAATACTTTTTGATATTACAATGAGAGTGAATAATCAACGGCTTGTCCACCAACTCTGTATCCTTATAGCCGATTTATCCCTATATACGATATATTGGTTATAATGATAATTTGACTGGCTTTTTCTGGTTTTGCTTTTGATATTTTCATTTTGTATCAATATAGCCGGTTTATCACTATGTCCGATGACTTTATAACCGATATCCACTGTACTTGCTTCGGCTTTTAGTACTACAGTCAAATCTGTCGTAAGCGACCGCCCCTTGGTGCAAGAAAAAGCGGTCGCTTACGGCAGATGGTCTCTTACGGCAGATGTATGGTAAATCCGGCATACCAGGTATTATGCTTCCATGTACTCAAATCGACGAGAATAATGTGATTTTTAATATCATTTTTATAATGGATATTCAACGACGACCATACTCATAGTACGCGTATGCGACAAGGCAGTAGATCGACACTGCCTGGACTTGAGAGCTACAGCACAGCCTCAGTACACATGGTACAGGCCAGCCGCCAGTCGATCGCACTTGCAAGACAGCGCATTTTCACACTTTGCAGTTGACAGCGCACTGGCAAGTACAGTTTCGCACCTGACTGAACCTGGGTCGCGGTCGCTTACAGCAGATTTGAATGCAGCCACCGTGCATGAAATCGCGGTCGCTGGTCGCGCACAGCAGATGGTCGCTCTGGACAGATCAGTTTGTATGAGAAACCGTCGGTGCACGGAAAATCGGTCGCTAACGGTAGATGGTCGCCTACAGCAGAGGTCGCTAACGGCAGATTTGACTGTAGTAGTCTCCTACACGGGTTTGCATTTCCTATCAAACTGAGCCTCCAAATGTATCCGCACACCAACAATTTTTTCTTATAGTAACAAAAAATGGGCAGGATTCGAATGAAACATATTAGACTTGTGCCAGACAACTACCCAATCCACGTACAGTGCTGCTCTATGAAATTCAGTCGCATGAGTCAAGTTTGCACCTTGCCATTACGCAGCCCAGTGTTCGCAGGTCTAGGGCTGTGCAGCGCCCGGCGCGCACTTGAGTGACTCGACTGGACTTCATTGAGCAGCACTGTAGTTGCTGAAACCAAGTGGAGCGACCCCCAATACACACCTGGTCTACACCACACCCAGTGCATTGGAATAAAATGGCCAAGAGAGTCACCTAAGCAAACCTGCCCTTGCAGGGGTCACCAGTATAGACAGCATTCTAGGCACACTCTACACTTGCTGGGGTAACCAGCACACACACGCACACACACGCACACGCACGCACGCACGCACGCACACACACACACACACACACACGCACCGACACTCATAACATCCATAGCCGTACTACACCAGTGCACCACACACAGTGCCAGTACCTGTTTCGAGAGGCGGACCATTTTGGCGAAGTTGACAAAGCCGTTATTGTCGAATGTGTTCATGGTGACATCAATGCCATAGATCATGTCTAGGTAGGCACCGATGAAGGGCACACAAGGCGGCTCACACGCATGTATGTACGTGCGCATGGCCTGATAACGCTCGTTTGCTGAGCATACCTTCTTGATGTCCTCCAGCATTTTCATAACCTAGTGCACAAAGATAAGAAGAAAAACACGAACGCACAAATGACAAGCTGAAGATTGACGCCAAGTGCTGGCATAGGCAGTGGCCAGAAAGGCGAGAGAGAGAGAGAGAGAGAGAGAGAGAGAGAGAGAGAGAGAGAGAGAGAGAGAGAGAGAGAGAGAGAGAGAGAGAGGAGAGAAAGAGAGAGATAGAAAGAGAGAGAGAAAGAGAGAGTAAGTTACATTTATAAAAACAGGTAAGTCTAACAAATGAGGACTGAGACCTCTACAACATTGCTTTTACGCCTGAAAGCTAGGTGCATGATTTAACAAGCAGGTTGTCAGTCTAGATTT